TTCTAATCATTTAAATTAAAGCTAAATTGGTCAAAACAAAAATTATATTTAAAAGTCAAGGATACTGATCATACCTTAAAAGTCACTTCGATTTTCTAATCTCTAACCAATGTTATAAAGTAATTTTTATTTTAATTATACATAATATTTCTTTTCCTTTTTTCATTTGTTTAGTTTTTGGAGAATGAAGGACAATTCTACTCAAATAAATTTAGAACTCATCAAAAATAGGGATGGGCACGGGCCGAGGACCCCTCTCTCTGGCCCCGGCTTGAAAGCACAAGGAGATTCCCCGGTCTCGACCCATAGCCCGAACGGAAAATTTGGAGAATCCAGGAATTAGGCTCGATCCCCCAAACAGGAAATTCAGGGAATCCCCGAAATCCCTGTTTGGGGTTTTGCATTATAATTTTTTTAAAAATTTTAGTGATTAAAAAAATTATAATGAATCAAAACATAAAAATATAATTATGATACATTATACAGGGAATATACCACCGGATCCTCGCTGACATTTAGATCAGAAGGCTCTGATCGATCAATTTTCAACACTCGAAAAAACTTCTTGTTCCTGTCACTCCCAATTAAATAGAACCTCTGCTCAAAAACACCCAAACTCAATTCAGTTGAATAGCCCTTAGTTTATCAATTATTTGAAAATTACAGTTAAAACAAAAAAACAAGAAACCCTCACCGCTCTGGTCTCGTAAAGCTTGAACTTCTCAAGGGAGCAGGAATTGGGGTCTATCTCGGGGTCGTTTGAGGGGTGGATTTTTGCGGAAGAGGAAGCATATGCAGGCAAATGAGATTTCGCCATTGAAATAAGCTTCATACTGATCTTGTCGGGTACAGATTTTATTTATAGGCTCCCATAGTGACGGGATTTCAACGGTCGGGTTAAGTTATTATTTTATAAGGGGTTTATCTGAGCTTATCAAAACTTATAAGCGTACCAAATTTTAAGCAATTTGATTAAAGTATTTATAAATAATAAGTAGTTCACATGTTTATAAGAATATTTTATTATAAAATAATTAAAATGTGTATTATATTAAATAAGGGTATATTATAGAATTTTAAAATTAAACAAAGATAATATGGTTATATATTTGGTTAAACTAGTTTATAAGAAAGAAAAAAAAGTACCTCCCCCAATTTTTTTTTTTTTTTCTTATAAACTCAATTTATAAACTTAAAAAAGTTATAAACAAACAGGTCAGCTTCATTTTAGAGCTTTTAGACAAACACACCCTAAATCTGATCACATTATTTATAATTACATTTTAAAGTTAGATCAAATTACATTTTCCTATCCTAAGTTTGGAAAATTTATTTCCCACCCCTAATTTGACATGGCAAAATGGGCGGGTAAGCTGGGTACAGTCCAAGTCTAAACCGGTACGAGTCCTAAATAGGTCCAAAATGTTGGACCTGTACCCTATCCTATACGGGTAAGGTGGACCCATGGGTACCTACTACTCTGGTGAAGTTCCTCTTGACCTTTTTCTCAAATACTCCAGGCGACTTTAGGACCTTTCTGACGAATCTCAACCGTTTATCTTTCTTCTTCCTTCTTCTTTGCAACCTCATGCACTAGATCCCACCCCTCCATCCTCTGTACCACCAGTTTCACCTCATACTTCTTTCTCACAACTCACAAGAGGCGGCCATGGCCGCCACCTCATCATCTTTACCACCATTCTTCATACCAAACCCAAACCCAAAAGCAAATACCCAAAAAAGAACAACTTCAAAATCCTCAAATCCTTAAAAAAACCAAAAAGAAAAGAAAACTTGTATTCAAAATTACACAATGTTTTTCATTCTAACTCCACAACACAAAACAAACCCAAAATAGAAAAATTCTTAAAAGCTTTGAAATCTTAAGAAACATGAAGAGAAAACAATTTGAAGAAATGGAAATGTGCCGCTCTACAACCTATATTGATGAACCAGAAGTGAGAAGGGTTAGGTGAATTTAGGTTCTTTTTAGGTCATCAATTGAATCTATCATACCCAGTAGGCCCTTATGCAAAGAAGAAGAGTGGGTTGTTGAAAAACTCTTTTAGGAAGAAAAATTAGTGGGTTAGAGAAGGGGAATGAATGGAGATTGTGAATGATTTTGACAGATAAGAGGTAGACTGTGAAGTAAACAAGAAAAGTTAAGTTTGGAGAGAGAGAGAGAGAAGGCAAAGAATAAGTGTTTTAGGCTTTAGCTCACACGCTGAGGAAGAGAAAGACAAAGAATGCCAATTTGGGTTTTTTTTTTTTTTTTTTTAATTAAAAACGGGTACTAGCGGATGCACTCGGTTTACCAGTTTACAAAGCGGGTAGAGCAGGACAAGGTAAAAAAAACATGTCTAATTATACATACATGTGCCTTATATTATTTACCCGGATACAGGTCGACCTACGAATCCAAACCCGTTTTTCTAGGTCTAATCATTTTGAAACCATCATGTTCCACCCACTTTTTAAATTTCAAATATTATACTTAACCATCAAAGGGTATTTACGTCTTTCTATGCAATATATATAAACTTGAATAAAAAAAGAACCTTAAATAAACTATAATCTCTCTTGTTATTTTTTTTAAATTAGAAAAATAATCCAAAAACAGAAGTTTATATAAAAAATTAAAAAAAAATTGAAGGCCATGGCTGTAGCGGGGGCCGCTGGATAAGGCCATGATCGTCGCTAGTGGACTTGATGGTATGTCATGGCTACTTTTGTTATTTCATTCTTTCTAGATTTGATTTTGAAGTTTTGTTTTTAACGTGTGTGAAGATGGTTGATGATGTGAAGTTGTGTTTTTTTTATGTGTTTGGATATGGTTAATTATACAAAAGTTTAATTTATTATTATTATTTTTTTATTCGTGAGTAATCGGATCAGCTTGCACGTACCTTGATTAGTCCCATGAAACTTTGAAGTTAATAGCTAGGTAAACCTTCAATGATTATCTCTTATTAATAATCATGTGAATTTAAATTCAAGACCTTTTGAGTAATATACCTAAGAGTCCCAAATGATGATTTGTATCTGTTAGATAGCCTTTGTTTGTATTATGATAGAAATTTCAAAATGTATGATTAAAATGAAATTGCTTTTAAATAATTATTGCAGACTATCTAGTTATGTCCTTTTAGCTTTAATAACATTTTTAATGTCTTAACTAAAATATAATTATTTTTAAAGTTGATAAAACAATATTTCAACATCTATTATTTATTTAATCGTGTTTAAATTATTTCATTCATACTTATCTCATTTTTTATAATTATCATTAATTATTTAGCTACTTTATCCCTTTAAAAACACAATTATCGTAATTGGTCAGTTTGTAAATTGATCCCGTCTGCTTGCTATGGGTCTCGCTTGTCTAATTACGAGTTGTTGCATTAGAGGTTATGAGAGAAGACTGTGAGATTAGATTGTGTATCTAACATTATTGTTTTAAAATTAGGTTAAAGCTTGATATATTACTAGTATTTTTTATATAATAAAGTGGATGAATTAAATATTAACAGAGCTTAAAAGAGGTTGAAAAACATCGGATAACACTGAAAATAATCTGTAGAAGACAGGACAGGACCAGGCCCAAAGGAATCCAAAGGCAAGAGCCCAATTTATAAAAGCCCCACATAATTTAAATTAAAATATTTTATTCTAAAATTACCCCATTTTTGCTTCTATCCATTCAAAACCAAAACCTTGTCCATTGTTTTGTGAAGATGAACCTAAACTTACACGTTTCAACTTCAACGCTTGCATTTGAATGCGAAAATTTTCTCCTTTACAATTCCAAACCATAACATTCCACTCTTCCCCCCAAACCTCTCACACTCATCTTCTTCAGGTCTTTTTTTTTTTAATTGTTTAATTGATATCTCAATTCTAATTTTAATGATATTGCTCTTATGAGTTATGGGTATAAGCTTTAAACTTCAATTCAGTATCATTTGTATTTAAATTAGCTTTGATATTAATTTGGGTGTATTTTGTTTATCTTTTTTATTATTGGAAGTAAAAATTAGGAGCTCAAGACATTTGGTGAACAAATCTGTGTCGGAGAAGTTTTCGGGTTCTTTTGATAAGCTAATTTTGATTTATGATTTTACAATATTTATGTATGCATACTTATGTTAAATTTCTTGTGTCGTGTTTGTATAATTTGGTGTAATAGTTTGTAGATAGATTTTAGTCAACTTCCATCATCAGTGTTTTGTTAAAATTTTAATACTTGTAGAGTGCAATTTGTTTTCAGTGCAATTGTAAGAGATCAATGGTGACAAGAAGGAAAAACAGGTGTGACCTGTTTTCTATTGGCCCATTAAACATCCATTTTAAAGAAATTATGGGAGGGAGCTGTGTGAGGTGACATCAATGGTAGTTCTGCTGAAAAAAATTGATTTTCAGATAAGGGGAGTAAAGACGATTGTGGCGAAACTTGGGACCGATATGAAACCAAAACCTTTTATATATGTTTTAAGTGATAATAAATTTTATGGGGAGAGTGAAACTGTTCCAGTTCTTAACTTTAATTGGGTTCTAGTTTTTAGCTGCTAGTAGCTGACGTATTTTGTATTGATGAGATATTTCCTATTGTTTTCTTTTAATACCCAAATGAGGAGAAAGCTGGTCTTGAGTTGCAATGAGGGTTGTTAGAAAATGGTTTCAAAAATGCAACAAATTGATGTAGTAGCATTGTTTATTCAAAACACTCTTGTGATTAATTTAGGTGCTTCCATTATGATATGGAATAATTGCTACTTGAGAAACTTTTTTGCAACTTTTGAATGATCGACATTGAAACTAAATGGTTTAGATGACAAATTTTATATGATAGTAATTTGCTACCTGATGAAGTAAGTTCTACAAATATTATGCTTATGATTCTAATATTTAATCTATTTCTAGGTACTATGCTCTGGAATTAGGATTTCTGATGTTTGCAGTTGGAGTTTATTCCAGCGAAAAGGATCTTGTTGAAGCCTTCAAGAGACCAGTGGCTATTTCTGACTTGTCTAAAACTCAAGGTCCAAGACCCATAAAAAATGTGTAATTCTTGACTATGAAAAGGCTGTTGTTGGTCTAGTTGGAGCTACTTTGGTCCTCATGATGGTGGGAGTGGGACCTGCCTCAGCTGCTGAATTGTCGTTGTTGGCCTCATCTTTGCAACCGAGTGAACCATCCAATGCCTTGTCCTTGCCCACCTGGGTCGTGCATGTCTCCAGTGTTGTTGAATGGTGAGGGTTTTCTTCTCTCACAATTGTGGCTATTATAATAATTGTGTTTTATTTATTCTCGTTAATGCTAAGTCTGATGAGTGAAAAATTGATAGAAAGCAGGTATCTCCTAATCATGTTTGTGTGTGTGTTCCCTAGGTTTTACTTGGAAAATGAAATGCTAACCACAACTTAGCAATTTAGATTCATTATTGTAATTTTGTTGTGTTGTATAGTTGTATGAATTTTCTCTTTATACCGATGATTAACAATTCTGTATATTGTGGGGTTTGAATTTTCTCTTTATACCGATGATTAGCATTCAGTTGGAAAATGAAGAAGTATAATTGACTCTAAATTTTCTGTTCAAAAGGATTACTGCAATGGCTTTAGTGTGGCAATATGGAGAGAAATCTGAGTATGAAGCATGGAAAGGTCTTTCATGGGGAATGGTGAGCTCTTCTCAATCTTTGCTTGTTACATTGCATTCCTTGTATGACTAACCTAAAATTTGGAATGCATTGTTAATTGGTGTATGCTTGGTAAACATGTTCCATAGATGAATTTTGTGTTTATTCAAAATTCTACAGACCTATGAAATATTTTCTTCAATTACTTCACTAAATTATAAGCATTTGTAATCAAACTAGGCCTGTTCTATTTTGCTTTAATATGATTTTAAGGGATAGGTTTACTATTTATAATTAAGTCAATACATTGTGAAATGTAGTCGCCCCTACAAATTTGGTTTATAGCCTAAACTTACAAATTCTAAATACTAAACTCCACATAACACAAGTCTAAATAGACTTGACCTAGTTATAAGGATTGTAAAACTCGTTCCAACTTCAATGAGAAAATAAATGGATCAAAGCAACTGATACACAAACCATAATAGGATGAGTATGACTGCATAAAATCCTGTTGCCCCTTTATGTTGCAGTCTTCTTGGAAATAGTTGGAATGATACTAATTCTAGTTTCCTTCTTACTTTAATGGGCACAGTATTTATCTTTGAATGTCTTATATCTTTTAGGTATTAGCCTTTCAGATTGGCTTGTAGGTTCTGATTTAATACAGTAAGTGCTGACTCATTCCTCTCCATTATTGTTTAGGTACCCCTGCTTGGTGAAGCATTTTGTGCATGCACATGGCATTTTTTTTTTATAATTCTGAGTCTCTTGAGGTAAGCTTTATTTACTATACATTTTTTTTGAGTAATAGTATAAATTTATTGAAATGGAGAAGCTATTGTTAACTTGTTTTAATCAAGTGGTTCATTTACTTTACTTTGACACTTTACACTGTATTCAACTCGTAGTTATGGTACTAAGTTAAGTTGGACATGTTTTGTACACTGTTAGTCAAGTATTTGTAATTTTCATCCTGATTTTAGTTCCCATGGAACTGCAGTGCCTCTCATTGCTGTGATGTTTCATTCTTCATCCATTACCAAGTGATTTATATTGAGGTAACTAAAGACTTAGAGGTGGAAACACTATTAGCTTTTTTGCCATCTTTATATGTTAACAACCCAATAATCAGATGTGTGCCATTTTCCGATAAATGAAAGGCTTAATTACAATTATGGAAAACTTGTAAGGATTAGGAGAAAACCCCTGAGGGAGGTTGTGAGATATTTATTAGAAAATGAAGGACAATTATTCAAGTATATGTGCGACATGGAGTTATAAGAAATCTGGTATTGTCGGGAATTCATTAGGTTACTCTCTGATAGGCTTGACTGAGTTTAAAAAGAACAAGTGAAATTAATTAAGCAAATTGTGTAATTGCGGGAAATTACTGATTTAACACAATTATTGCTATGTATTTATCCCTGAATAAGGAGTTTAGCAAACGTTACAACTGTAGAGTGAAAAATTATGTGCTCCCTGAATTTTGTTATAAAGTTACAGTTGTGCTTCTTGAGTAATGATAGGAAATTTGAAACTGTGTATGATGTTATAGTGTGGTGTGTGGTTTTGTTCCATTGTAGATTGTATTCACAAGTACTTGATGTTCTAATGACCTTTGCTGGTGTTACATAGGGAGTTTCACTTGCATATTGGTATCTGTGTCAGATAGGTGTTGATTTGAGGATTCAGTTAATGTCATTTTAGATTACATTAGAAGTGTGTCTAGTTCATTAAGTAATGATGTCTTGTGTTGAATTGGTGTTGCTTTATTTTTAGTGTCTGAAACCCAATTTTAGACAAATCAGATCTCCTTGGGTTCGAAATGGCTCTGAGGCTTGGTTAACTAACTCAGGGTATATCACATTTTCTTCTTTTGGCTCAGAAAAAGTAGTTTTTTGTTGGCAAATAAAAATGTGCATCAACTTAAATTAAATTGTATGTTCAATGGTTTCATAAAGCTTGGACATACATAAGCTCTTCTATATAGGATAAATTCTAAATTGATATGGACTTTTACATATTTTCACATGAAGTCGGGGGGTTTGGATCAGTTTTTTGTTAAACAAACTGCTTCCATCCCAAGTATTGTTCGACTTACAAAACAAGATCAGTAATTTAATCACCCCCTTGCAATTCTGTTTTGACCACCTAACTGTTTATATAAATAAACTTAGTGTTCAGTGTATCTGTTGGCTGGATTAGAAATCAACAATCAATATGTACTCACATTACCTTTGAGTATGTTATAAAACGGGAACACAAATTAATATTTTGCTTTTGGCCGAGGCATTTTTCTGTCCACTACATTCAGGTCACAGTGATTATACGTACTATGGATAGTTCTATACATGAATATCTGAAGACCACAGTTATTTTAATTAAGCAATACATTGTTTTGTTGAACATTGCATTTCTGTGCCCTTGTGCTCAATTAAAAGAGAGTGATTATTCTTTGAGAAAGTTTCTCGAATGACATGCATGTTAATCTATGATCGTTAGGTATTGGTGGCTCTTCAAGCCGCATTTACAGTGATAGGTAATGCTACAATGTGTAATGCTGCATTTCAAATATACAAATCGTCAGAGGAATGGTCACAGAATCTGTAAAATTCCTGTATCAGGATATAATCATTTCCTCGAATGCATATCCTTATTGTTTATTAGACATATCCATAATGAAGGTAAGCAGCTCACCAGCTCTCCGTTAGAATGATTATAAAAAGCCACCATTTTTTGGCTATGAATTATAGTTGTTTACCTTTTTCAGGAAAAAAGGAAATGGTATGCTGGAAATGTCGTTGATTGATGACAAAGACGATTGTCATGGGGCTAAAATCTCAAAATTGGAGGTAATTCTTTGCAAATAAAGTAATGGATTGTGATCATGTAGTTGTTGACGAGGGATTGATGGAGTTAACTGCCATAATGTGTTAAGTAGTATCCGGAATGAAGAATTATTTTTTCTCTTTCTGAATAGCTATAACTTGTCAAGAAACAACTTTATATATGTATGGTGTTGATATATAACTATAAGATAGTGTTGTATATTTATGGTCTTATGCAGAGTAACATGGTTCCATAATGTTTCTGGTACGTGCAAGCATAGGAATGGACCCCTATAAATTTTCTTCAAGGGAATTAACCTTATAACATGATAAATTCAAGGAAAAAAAATTACAAAAATAATATATATACAAAATTAAAAGATATATTCATAGTAATTTCATCACATAAATTTATAATTATTTCATAAACTAAATAAAGTTTTTAAGTATCAAAATTAAATTGAATATAAAATAATTGTTCTTAATTATTATTATGTTTGTTTGTTTATTTAACGGAGTTATATAACATTTATCTATTAATCTTGTTTAATTTCATAGACCTTTTAAAATGTTCATAAACATATTTATTAATAATAAATCAATAAAATACAGACTTATTGGCTATGTATAAAAAAACAACAATAATAAATCTTAAAATATTTAAATGTGAAGATAAATAAGACCATAAATTGTAAAAATACAAAAATAAACACAAATAAATGCCCGGTCTTGCTCGACTCAATGTAGGTTAGTCCATGCATGCAGTGGAGATGTCTAAACAGTAGTGGTTAAGAAAAGATGCTTGGTTCAATGTAGGTCTGTCCATGAATGCAATGGAGATGTCTAAACAGTAGTGGTTAAGATGAGATTTTGGGTAATATTATACTTATAATTTAATCTCAAAAATTTTCTCTCACAATTCAGATATAACAGCTCATAAACGGATCTTGCCTGCTCGTTATGGGTCTCGCTTGTCTAATTGCGAGTCAAACAATTACAAGGTATCACGTTGAAATTGCAGAAAAAGTTTATAAGATTGGGTTGTGAGTCAATCTTTATTAAAAGAATTTTGAGCTTTAGACGAATATTTAAGAGTTGAATAATGTTATATTTATAATTGAGTCATACAACCAAATAAAAATTTTATAAAATTTATATAAAATAATTATTCTATCCTATATTTTTTGCTTAATTGTATGACTAAGTTGTAAATATAATATTGTTTGGTAAGGGTTTTATTTATCTAATAAATAAAAAAATCAGTCAAAGTTAGGTTAAACGAGCCCAAATATGGAACAGGAGGCTAGATACTTGGGAAATGGGTTGTGCATAAGCTACAGCTCCCAATGATAACCCAGTAGCCCAATATTTGAGGTTTCCATTTTATATTATGACAAAAGGTTTGCAACCTCAAACAAGGCTAAACTTAGTATTTATTTTTTTATCATTGGTAAAGGTCTCACAAGGTCAGTTATAAACCTCTCTAGTAAGGTAGGGGTGCTCCTTAGTTTCTTATAACTTTTTTTAATTTTTAATTTAGATTTTGTTTTTTTAGTTTTATTTTATTTGCTCCTTAAACTTTTATTTATATTTTATTTTCCTTAATTTCGTTTCTTTCCCATTTTTATGATAATTTTAATAATTCTTTTTGGTTTATTTTTTTTTATAGTAATTTCATTTTAAAATAGTTCTATATTAACGGTAACTAACCGTTTTCCCCCCTTTTTTTTGGGTGTATTTTTTGATTCGTTTTAGAAAAAGTAGCCCATTAATTAATAACTAATACAAGACAATTAATGAAAATAATAAAGTCAATTTATAGTAATACTTGTCAAAAGACAACCTTCTTATATCATTTAACCCAAGTGGTTAATTTAATTAGGCGAAGAAGATAGATAACACTTGTATTGATACTTAGGATGCAATTTAGATCATATATTGAAGTATATATTACAATATCATTTCTAATAAGGAAAAAACCATAAGGATTTCAAGTAATTTAATCAAATAAAAACCATCGGTAATAATTCTAGCTGATAATGTGTTTGACACTAATAACAGTAAGAACCTTTTTTTTGCCCTTTTTTGTGTATTTTTTGATTCGTTTTAGAAAAAGTAGCCCATTAATTAATAACTAATACAAGACTATCAAAAGACAATTAATAAAAATAATATAGTCATTTTATAGTGATACTTGTCAAAAGACAACCTTCTTATATCACTTAACCCAAGTGGTTAATTTAATTAGACGAAAAAGATAGATAACACTTATAGGTAGACTCATTTATCATGCAATTCAGATCATATATTAAAGTATATATCATTTCTAATAAGGAAAAAACCATAAGGATTTCAAGTTATTTAATAATTTAATTTAATCAAATAGAAAACATCAGTATTCTAGCTGATTATGTGTTTGACACTAAGATTTATTTTGTAAATCACACACATCAAATTAATACATCATGCACTTTTTTTTATTGAAATCTGAAGAAGTTATAACATAGAAGGTCCCAACTCCCAATCATCATACAACAGCATAGTATTCCTAGTAGTTATAACATTTATTTCATTAGCATAACAAGCCATTTTCAATTTCTAACGATTGAATTCATGTCTGCCTGGTTTTTCGGTTTATGGTTCACTTTTTCCATGGCTCGATGATATTTCGTCCAAAACCTCCCATGCTGAATCAATTGATGTTTTAAGCTTTCGAATTTCCTCAGTGCTCAGGGTTAACTGTTTCCTAAGCTTTTCAACCATACTACTTGGAGTTTTCACATCCTTTCCGGTGGCCCAATCATTGTCTGTAAAGAAGGGAGTATTAATAAACGAATGTTGACAATATTTGGAGATAGATATACAAATGGTTTGAAATAATTTATATCTTGCGGTTGAATAGTTAAATCCCATATCACTTGACAAGGTTAAGTAAAAACTAATTAAATATCATGTGAGCTCCTAAATCCTAATCTATCATGACGTTGGTAAACCCGAGTATAAGCATGAATTATCAAGCAAAATTTAAATTTCTTTTTAAATCAAAATAAAAATGAAAAAAAGTTAAAGTTTGATACTAACCTTCAGTCTCCGATACGCTTCGTTGACAACGAATAGAAGTCAAGCTCAAACTCAGTCTCGGAGTCACAGATGGAGATTGAAGAAGAAGAGAGTTGCGAGGAGCAATTAAAGAAATCGAAGAAGAAGAAGAGAATTTAGCTGACCAAGGAGCTAGAGAAGCCGAAGCACCAAGAACGTTGGCCATTGGAGTAGAGATTAGAGCTCGTTACAAAGAGAAGATGTCTGTCAAAAGAATACTTTTGCCAATATATATATATATAGATTATATTACAGCTTTGAAAAATTTAACTTTAACCCAAACAAGACGGTCAAAGAAAATCTATAGATCGTGATAATTGGAAACCCACCTCCAAATTAATAAGAACTCCCAAATTAAGAAGAACTGAGTTGGGTAGTTAGTCTTTGATAGGAAATGATTTGGACAGTAGTTTTTTTATGGGTTTGGGTATAATTTTTCTTGGAAAACCAGTTTAAAAAGGTGTCTAAGTTCTTATAAACTACATGTCTACAACTTTTTCCTGATCCTAACATATTTTTGATCGTATTTATTATATTTAATAATTGTTAATTACATTTAAAGATAATATAAATACTATATTAACCTTTTTGGTATTTTATTTTTTTATGGCATACAAGTGGAAGTGGGAGTGTTAAAACGGGTTGACGGGTTGTGTCAAATAAATTTCAATCCAAGCCTGATTCATTTAATTATTTCAATCCAATCCAAATCAACTCATTTATTATTCGTGTCAAAGTGTATCAACCAATTCATGACACGTTTAACAATTTGACCCTTTAAACTAATTTTTCTGGCGTGAATTAGATGAGATTGAATTGTATTAAATACGATATTGTCATTAATAGATTGACTTAAAACCACAAGTCATTCCATTTGTGACCCACGTTTCTTATGCAGTAGAGGTTTTTCTTAACACCGCTGAGGTTTAGGTAAAAAACCAAAGAGACCCATATAGTTTAATACACTCATATAATTTAAGTTACTTTACATCATTGGCAAAGATTATTATTGGGCGAATGAATTAATTTTCTTGACATCGGTTCTAAAAAATAATATTAATTTTTTTACCAATAACAAAAGAAACAAATTGAAACAAATATAGAAAAATCATTGAAAATAATTGATTTAAAATAAGGTTTATTTTTAAAATATAGCATTGTCAAGTGTTTTGTGTATCACTAGAGTGACGGATTAAAGCAATAGCAGACAATTAATTATCTAGAAAATATATAATTATTTAAAAAAAAATAAATCAAGGGTTATGTTTTAGCAACTTAGTTTTTTAAGAAAGATACTATCCGGTCCTCATAATCTTTTAAAAACATCCCACTCTGAATTGGATGAGATTGAAATGTATTAAATATAGCATTGTCATTGATAGCTTGACATCAAATCACATTTTGTTTTATTTGTTTGAGTATCTATCCACGTTTCTCACGCACTAGAGGTTTTTATGGATACCCCTGAGGTTTAGGTAACAAACTAAAAAAACCCATAAGTTTCAACATGAAACACTTACACCCTTATAATTGACAGAAATTTTTAAAAATTTAATTTGGATACTACAATGACTTATTACCCTTATTTTGTCTCTTCTGACACAATATGAAGAATTTAATATCTAACATTTGTTACAAGATGAAATATTAAATATATTAAATGATTTAAAAGATACTAAACTT